TACTACCTGGTTTCACATATGCTTCTGATAATACCTAATGCTGTCAGCCTAAAAAAAAAAAAGCAGAACCTTCAATAGGAACTCATTCGATGAAAGCAATAAATGTGAATTGCAAAACTGCATTAAATCTTAGCGAAAAAATCGATACGACCCAGTCTATGTTATTCAAAGACCTTTTTTAAAAAAAGACGAATAGATTCAGCCCTTTTTTCAGGTATTAAAATACAACCCCTTTTGAGCGACGACAAAATCAGTTGGCTTTGAATACTATTCAAGACATAGTAAGAGCAGCGGCTATGGCTTGCCTTAAAGAGCAACAGGCTAGGGCTTTTTCATCCGTTTTTTTTACAGTAGTTTTCCCCGCTAAGAGCCACAAGCCAGCCTCGTACCGTCGGGGTACAAAGGACGCACGTTCCCCCTCTGTCTCTCCCGGCAGCGTTAATGTTTCGGGCGGAGCTGGCGATCTCCAGCTTACCACATCTCTTTCCCTGCGCTCAGCATCGCGGCCGCCGTCCGTCTACGCCCATCGCCTCTACCGCCTTTGCTCGGAGCCAGGCTGCCGGCTCACTCCTCGGAGCAGCTGCCCAGGGGCGATGGGCGGCGGGGACCACCAAGCTGCAAGGCACGGAACCCGCAGCTCACCCCTCCAGAGAGCCGTACGGGAAGCCCACCATTTAATCTCCCAAGGGGCGGCATCACCCTCCGTGGCAGAAAGCCCAAGGCGAGAATCGGGGGAGGGGGATCGGGCATCCAGAGACGTCCACCCCGAGCACGCTGGCGCTCGCCGCCTCGCTTGCTCTCCACTCCCGCGGCAGTATCAGGGGAGGGGGCTGACGTGATGCGGCAAGGATGGATAGGCGGAGGCCTCTGGAGCGGGCGGCGCACTTGTCTCACGCGCTCAGGCCAGGAAAGCGCCGGCTCGCCGAACCGTCCGGGCTCCGGGATCCACTACCCACTAACCCCAGCACATCACGCCGGCGCTACCGCCACGATCAGCCCAGATTCCCTCGGACCAATAGAAGCAAGCAAGTTCCTTGCCCGCCCGGGCATGTCGCCTAGCGGGAAAGGGATGAAAGAAGGAGCCAGCACGGGCACGCAAATGCATTCGGCCCCGCCGGATACGAACCCGCTACTCACCGCTTGGACAGCAGCTTCGCCTCGCAGCGGGTACAACAGCGTCCCGGCTCGGGCGAAGCCACGCCCCAAACCCGTCCCTGTCCCAAGCCTCGCCACGCCCCCTTTCCTATTCCAACCCGTTCTCCTGAATATTACTCAATGCTGTTTCAATTGGTAGAAGCGACGCGCTGCTTCTGCTCCCCCTGAAAGATGTTTTCTTAGCCCCGCCTCTCCCCATGCGGATAAAGGAATGACAGCACAGAGGCGGGCTTCTTACGTTTATGCTATGGACGACCCTAAATGTTCATTATCATATATATATATATGACATACACCCGCACACATATGGGAACCTGTTCTTCTGAATTATCATCGATACACACGACACACGCATACACATACAGAGACACATATACAAATATGCATATGAAAAAATAGATAAACTTCCTCTGTTGAGTGAGAAATCAAAAAAATCAAAAAATGGTCATGCGCGTTCTAGTATATTTAATATATTTCCATTTATTTCCATTTATCAGCTTGATTTTAGACTTCTTTTGTTGAACTATATTCATTATTTAGCAACATTACAACATTATTTAGCTTGAAAAACTTGCTTTGATTAAATAGGCACAGATCAGGTTGTATTTATTGTACTTAGAAATCACGGTGTGTCTCACTAAGGATCCAGTCTTATTACAATGTAGACAATATAGAAAATATAGATGTAAAGTTAGTGTTATTCAATCAGATAACTCTAAGCCATGTACAAGAACAACATCCAGAGGCAATGCAATAATAAAATGACACAATTACATAAAATATAACACAATGTACAATTAATCATAATAGCAGGTCCATTTCTGGCACATAGAGCTCCACAACATTCACATCTCCAAAGGTCCCCTGAAACAATCCTATTTTTTACAAGCTTCTTTATGTAATAAGCTTCCTTCTTGTAATAAGCTACATAAAAGTATTCTATTTTAATTCTGAATTTCAATTAATATAATTCTGAATTTTAACTAAATTCTGAATTTCAATTGATTTAAATTCTGAATTTTAATTGAATTCAGAATCAATTCTGTAATAAGCTTGTTCAGTAATAAGCCACAAGATCTGCTACAGTAAGCATATCTGCTGTTTTAAAAAAAACCTGGCCTCTCTTCAAGTTTTTTTACCTTATCCCACTACTTCTAAGTGTATTTTGAGAAAATATATACATTAACTATATCATGAGGGTTTGTACAATATCAAGCCATCTAAACAGAAGTTTCATTTACAACTAAACCCAATATGAAATTTAATAAAAATGAATGCATACACAACATTGAAGCAAGGTAGTTCATTAGGTACACCATCATTTATAAGTGGCTTATTTTAAATTGCTTTTTCAATTAAGTCTTTAATTACAGTTTGACTGCTAGTAAAGCAGAATATAAAAAGAAACTTTGACTGAATGTTGTAGATTAAATCATAAATATATTTTTTTCTTAGTTGGCTGGATTCATACAATATACTAGGCTAAAATGAGTTGGCTATCTTTACCCCAGTGTGATGCAAATTAGCTCAGTGATTAATTTATGATTTAGAGCAGAGTTCCACAACCTTTCCAGCTTTGCAGATCATGGGTGGGGAAGGGGGGATGGTTCTGTGCAAGTGGTGGGCACTTGCACAAGCACAGCTCCATTTGCGCAAGCAGCAGGCATGCACTCCCGCCACTCATGCAAATAAAGTGTGCACACACACCCGCACCCAAGCAGGATGTGCGCGTATGGGCTTGCCTGCCACTTCCACGTCCTAGTTCCAAACTGTTCAAGGCCCAATAGTGCGCCACAGGCCAGGGGGTTGGGGATCCCTGATTTAGAGTGTTCAGCAAGCCAAATCAATTTATTAATTCTGTATGCTTTATGAACATACAACATATACAACATATTAAAGTACAAACTGCCCAACTGCCTCAGCAATTAAAGATGCTGTGCCTGTCAGCTGGAAAGCGAACAGCTAGGTTCAGGACCTGAGCGCCACATGACAGGATGACCTCCTGTTACTCACCTCAACTCCTGCCAACCTAGCAGTTCAAAAGCATGCAAATGCAAGTAGATAGATACGACTGACAGGAAGGTTACTGCATTCCATACTTTCATGATGATGGAGGGATCTCTCAGACAATGCAAGCTCCCCTGGCTAAGAATCGAGATGAGCACCACCTCGAGTCAGTCACAACTAGATAGGGGAAACCTTTATTTTAGCCTAATGTGTTCTGGAAACACAACCACTATGAGTAGTTTATGGTTTGATAGTTTCTATAAATTCAGGTAATTGGTATAAGTAAACTAGGATTTGATATATTTATTGAATGAACATAGTTTTATAATTTCCATATATTGAATTACACAAAAATCCTAACTTTGATTAACTTCACAAGATCTGTATAAAGTGGACTCATTGTGTGTGTATGTGTGTTAGCCAAAACTAGAGCTAACAGATATGGATTACAAAAACCCAGGCAATCTGAGCTCTTCGGTGCCATTTAGAAGAAATTTGGATTTTGCTGTTTTATGCTCTCTAAATTCATAGTTAAGCTGGTTTAGCTAAAAAATTCATCTACGAACCAGTTCAAATGGAAAGAATGAATTTCAGCTATTACATGAAAGAGATGAATAAAGAAATGAGTCTGAAAATTTTTCTTGTCCAGAAGTATCTGCAGCTAAGTTTACTAGGATAAATAACATGCTTGGAGGTTTCTGCTAGTTCCTAGGAGATGCTTTAATATAAAGGACATTCTACCTGTGCAGCCAGGAAAAAAAGGTATTATGTGTTCTGCTTGAAATTATGTAGAGAGAAATTATTGTATAATGAACACTGTATTCTTGAACTTGGCAGGAGGAAATCGAGGGGAAGGAACTTAACATGTACTACAGGTATGATTATTTCTCAGTCACTGGGAGCTCAATGGAGATTCATGTTCAATTTGGTTTTCCATCCTGTCTACCTCTTTTCCCCCAGATTCACTGGAAGAAAAAAGAAATGGTTTCTCTCTGGTTCACAGAACAGTTTCCTTCGTGGCAAGGCAGAACAAAGGGTGGCTCAGTGAAATGAGGAAAAAACATTAAGAGTACAACTAAGAATGGACTTGGCGCCTACGACCATTACAGGAGTATAATGCAGTTCTGTTCACTGCTGTGTCCAATTAATCCCCCTTCCAGCCGAAATTACCTTTCTCGCTTCTTTCTTTTAAAAAAGCATTGAAAAGGAGCGGGAGGAGGAGTGCTAATTCACAAGTGAACAAGGATGCTACCTGCCATGCCATTCTTCGTGTAGGGCAGGGGTTAGGCAACCTTGGCTCTTTTATGACTCGTGGACTTCAACTCCCAGAATTCCTGAGCCAGCATGGCTGGCTCAGGAATTCTGGGAGTTGAAGTCCACGAGTCATAAAAGAGCCAAGGTTGCCTACCCCTGGTGTAGGGAACTTCGAGGCTGAGGATGGGAAAAAAATATCCTGCCGAAAAGAAGACCACCCACTGGTACTATATTTGAAAACAAACATCGTGTATGAGAAAATTCAAAATAACCCGAGCCCGCCTCGTAGCCCAAGAGCCTGGAGACAGAACTGCTCCGGCACCCCCCCCGACCGCGAATCCACCTCCCGTCTCCAACTGATGACGCTTCTTTAGGCGCAGTCAGATCGTCTATCCCAGGGGTAGGTAACCTTGGCTCTTTTATGACTCGTGGACTTCAACTCCCAGAATTCCTGAGCCAGCTAAGCTGGCTCAGGAATTCTGGGAGTTGAAGTCCACGAGTCATAAAAGAGCCAAGGTTGCCTACCCCGGGTCTATCCTTTTCCCGAGCCTGGGGTGTTTCTGGGTATCGCGAGAGTTGCTCTGTCGGCAGGTCACGATGCCGGCAGGGACGGGATGGCTGAGGAGCTGCGCGAAGCCCACCGGGTAGGCTCAGCCCCTCGGCCATCTCTAACGAAATGGCACCCCGAGATCGACCGGTAGTGGCACCTCCGTCCGCCATGCGCAAACGCGGGGCTCGAAAGCGCCTCAAGTTCCGGGCCGAAGACGTCTGCTTAGAGCGGAGTGAGTAGCGAGGCCTAGGCGTCATTCCTAATGGCAGCCATTGTCCCCCTGATCAGGTGCCCTGAACCAGTCGCTTTCTTTCCGCAGTGACCGTGGCCGACTATGCAAACTCGGATCCTGCTATAGTGAAATCGGGACGCGTGAAAAAGGCTGTGGCCAACGCGGTGCAACAGGAAGGTGAGTTTGGGCGAAAAGGCTGAACTTTAAACACACCTGTTCCTACTGAACCCAGTTTTCTGGGTTTATATAGCATTCCGAAGCACGAAGTAACTACTGGTACATTCCACGACAAAACAGGTGAATTTGTGGCTCAGGGAGTCCAGGGCTGTGGAGTCGGTAGATAAATGTTCTGACTCCGACTCCCCGACTCCGACTCCTCTGTATTAATATGCGAATGTATTTTATACATTCCTCGAAGGAAAGAAAGGCAACATACATGTCATTACCACAGGACTACTGGCTGGGAAAAGCCAACAGTCTACTGCAGTGGTTCTCAACCTTTTTAATGCCGCGACCCCAACCGGTCGTAAGTCGAGGACTAAACCGGTCGTAAGTCGAGGACTAAACCGGTCGTAAGTCGAGGACTAAACCGGTCGTAAGTCGGGGACTTTCCCTGCCCGGGAGCGCCGCACATGCGTGGTTCCGCCCCCTTCGCCGGCCGAGGCGTAGCTGGCAAGCGGCAGAGACGGAGCAGGCCGACCACCAGCTGGCCCAGCTCAAGGGAGGTAAGGCACCCGCTGGAAAAGGGAAAAAAAATGGCGGACAGCCTTGCTTGGCGACCCCCATTAAATGGCCGATCGACCCCAAATGGGGTCCCGACCCACAGGTTGAGAACCACTGGTCTACTGTATTGAACAGTTTAAGCAAAAGACAAACACAATGAAAACAACAAAGTTTTATTAATTTTTTTTTATTAATTTAATTAATCAAGTGGCTGTATAGTAGCAGCAGGCATAAACATCAGGAACAGGAACTTTACCAGTTCAAAAATGCAAACCACATTATTTGGTTGTTTTGGAACAAAAACAAAGCTTATCTATATGAACCAAAAACAAAATCTGTAAAATTCCAATCTAAATTTAGTAGGAGTCGGAGTCGGTGCATTGTTTGCCGACTCCAACTCCAGGTACCCAAAATTTCCTCCGACTCCACAGCCCTGTCAGGGACACCTGGAAACACAAGGCTACCAGTGGTGACCCAGCAGTAAAAACAATTACACTTTGTCCTTTTTAAAAATATGTTTTGCGATATTTGTGAGGAGTCTATAATTCTTTTGTCCTATAGTTTCTTTGGAAAACTGTTAGGCAGTATCTTGCTTTCTGACACAAAAGAAACACTTTAACAGAGTATGCTTGCAAACTTCTCTGTATTATGTTTTTAACTTTTTGATTGATGCTTATTTTCCCTCTTTCTAGTTAATCATATTTATTTTATGCAATCAGATTTCTAGATGGCAAATATATCACAAATTGTCAAATGTTAAACAGATGTCTCCTGTTTTTTTTCAAACTTTCAAACTCTCTTCCAAGAGTGAATTTATTCAAATACATATACAATATGAATATTTGACTTTTCACAATGAGTTTCCAAAATCTTTTTCCCTTATAGAAATGTGTCCACATTGTTCCTTATTGTTCACCCATGAGCTATCTTCTTTAACTCTCTTAAGTTCTTTTAATTTTATGGACATAGAGATTTAACCAGTTAAGTCTTTATTAACTTGTACACCATCAACATTTTCTTGCATCATGATAGCTCTTATTTTTCAAGGATAAGGGAGAAAAATCATTTGCTTGACAGATGTTCCTAAAATATAGAGAACACAAAAAGTTGTTTAATAGTGAATTTAGTAGCCTAAAAATGGCTTAGGATCTGTCTTGCTTCTGGATTGAAATACTGACAGTCACTATAGTAGTTCACTTTCTACCCAAGGACAAACAGGTAGCAGTCAAAGCAAGCAAACCAAAGCAGAGTCTCTTAACAGACACTTGCCTAAACAGTTTATTTTTTAACAAGAGCATGCAGAAAAATAGTCCAGAATTAATCCAAGGTTCTGAGAACCCAGTCAGGGTTGTCATTGAGTCCAAGCTTTTACAGGTAGCATCCATGCAAATTGCCACACAAAAATCAGAGGTCAGACTATTTTTTTCCAGCAAAAAAATATGAGTTAGTACTGCCTTTTAAATCAAGCTGCAGCCAGCTATCACTAATCAAGAAATTTACTCCTTTGCTTGGCAAGAAGCCTCATAGATGGGCTCTAATCTTCTCTCAATTCACTGGGGTACAGGAGCTAGGAAGCTTTACATCATCTAACTCAGAGGCCCCCAACCTTTTGGGCACCAGGGACCGGTTCTATGGACAAAGATTTATCCATGGACCAGAGGAGGCGTGTTTTTGCATGCTGCCTGCATCCCATGGATGGGGCTTCGCTTGTTTGTGTGGCCCAGTTGGTGGCATGGTGCGGCCTGGTGCCAGTCCACGGACCGGTGGTTGGGGACCCCTGATCTAACTGTTCCAGCTATCTTTATCAGTCTCATGTGATTCTTGGCTTTATGTTTCCTGAGCCTGACATTCCATAGGTTTTGCTGGAATCTTTTCAAAGTCAATCAGCATCTGAATCCTGGCCCATGAAAGGATCGAAGTACTCATTTTCTTCAAAATCATTTAACCTGGCTAGTGAAATCATGTTTGTGGTTCCACAGGTAGGTCTTGTAGCAACATCATGGCAAGGATATTGGGTTTTCTCTCAATAACTTTTCTCCTAAGAGAGGCATGAATGCCTATACTGTTTTATTTATATTATCTAATTGGTTTATTGAAGATTTCACCACTTTTGAAATCTTCAGAAGGGAGAACAGGATGAAAATAGAATAATATTTGCTTTAATTTTAATTTTCTTGTAATCTTTTTTGATTTTAATATAACTATATCCCCTCCATCTGACCAGAAGTTTTCCTCTTGGTGTTGATAGATAAAAGTTGGGGGGGGGGAATTCATGGAATTTTGTTTTTATGTATGATAACCGCAATGAGAGTATTGTATGCACAAAGATAGAAAGATTTGACAACACTTACAATAGAGGAATGATTAGAGAAGATATGGAACTTGCTGAGATGACCAAATTAACTTGTTTGATTAGAGAAAAGACAATATCTGCATTTATTGCTGAGTGGAAACCCCTTATAGATTTCTTTGTATAAAACAGGACAAAATAACTTAAAATTATAGTTTTGATGATTAGACAGGATAATTATTGAAAGAAGAGGGTTATAATATAATTTTAAAGAGAGCTAAATCTCTAACTGTACTTATAACTGCTATAAAGAAGTTCACTTTGTATCTTTTATTTGTTTTTCTCTTTTCTATATATTAGTTTGTATTTTTAACCTTCATTGGGAAAACTTTTAATAAAATTATTTTTAAAAAATATGAAAGATTATATGAGCATCTTTAAAATAACACCAGCTCTTAATGCTGCAGTACATAAAATCTTCTATTCCTTATATTTCTACTGTATTTAAATGATGAAATTTCTAAGTCAGTCTTCAACATCTTAATATGTTGATTTTAAAGTTGTAGTGGCCAAACAAAACAGAATCCCTAGGCTAATATATAGAAAAATGAAAGTCTACCATAATCTTAATATAGGGGAAAAATGACATCAAAATGTTAGGACTACTGTTACAGTAGTCACCTACCCTGTATCTTGCTAATTCAGCTAGTGCAAATCACTATACTTGGGGGGGGGGGGGTTGTCCTAGTCTAACATATTTCTTGATTCTCTTTTATCCACTATTTACTGATTCAGTATACTTGTTTTCAACTTACTGCCCCTTTTCCCATTTTCTCTACCAGAATGTCTGTTGGCTGGCTTTCCTAATACATTCCCTTGGTCCCATTCTAATTAGCCTGTCTCTGCTTTCCTCCAGAACTCAGATTCTTTATCACCTCTCTTTTTCTCAAGCCTCATCTGCCTAATTTTTCTTCATATAGACCAATGCTTGTTCCATATCTTTTGTTCAGATCATCTGCCTTTAATGTCCCTGCCTTAACTTGTCTGATTCTTGGGGTAACTTTCAGTCTTTCACTCTCTCTTGTGAAACTTTCCTTCTTAAATGAATCTCAACTACATGTTTCTTAATGGCAAGCCATGCTAACAGGCCATTTCAAGCAACTGGAGGCTTCCTCGCCACAATCAAGGTGACAGGATGACCTCCAACACCTTTCCTTGTCCTACTGTCGCCAAAAGGAATTTGTACTTGGATCTTCCTGTTTTTTTTCCACTTGTTTCTTCTCTGTGGTTTGGATTATCAAAATAAATTTATTTTACACTCTTGATTCTAGGACATTGCTAATTCTTATATCTCAAATTCTTCCGTTTATTTTTGATTATAGTGAAATCTCTGTGTGGCTTGGAAGCATCTTTTGTACCAACTGATGAAATACTATCTGTGGCAGAGTCCTGTGAGAGTGGCGATGAAATGGATTCTAATGAATATTTCACGACTGATAGAAAAAAGAAAAGCAAAAGGCATAAAGGTAAGGTCTGTTGTTTTAACTGTTACTTTGACATAATTTCACTTTAACAATAAAATACTTTTATCTCTTCAAATAAAGTGATGCCACTTTTTTCTTGAAACATGGCCAGTTACATTGCTTGTTTTTGATTTCAGAAAGCTCCGAGTGTATGGTAGGCAAAGAATATCCAATTGACATATGGTTGATGTTGGCATCCTATATACGCCCAGAAGACACGGTGAATTTTTCACTAATTTGCAAAAGGGCCTGGACTGTCACTTGTACAGCTGTATTCTGGACCAGACTTTATAGAAGGTATGACAGCTAATAGAATCTTTACTCTATACTGTGTATATTTTTAGAGTTGAGGGGCTTTTTATGGATTATTTGTAGTGGACATCCTTATAAATAGTGTGCATAGGAATTTGGGCATAAAAGATAAATGATGCATTTTGTTCTGAAATACAATTTTCCCAGACTGACTCTTTTATATCCTTTTTGATTAGGATATATTAGGATTTGATATAAGAGATAACATATCAAAACATTAGGGCTGTGCATCACTTCAGATTTGATATAAAAAGGTATCTCATAGCATGTAGGGAACATACTGTGAGTTGTTGGCAAATCCTTAACCAAGGAACTCTTTTTTTCTGATATTGCAGAGTAATTGCCACACAGTTCCAGAAAACAATGCAACTGCTTTAAAGTGTTCAAAAAGCTAATGTGTTTACATGCTGATAATCCAAAGTGCTTTTTTGTCTTTGAATCCAATGCCTGCATAACTGTATAAAATATGCATAGATAATTGATAGTATGGATTATAAAATATACATACAGTATAGCAGTGCCAGAGGCAGCATGCCCCAGCCTTGCCTACCCCGCGGCCCCCTCCTCCCCAGCAGCCCCCCCAGAGGAGAGTTGCCCCCGGGCGCGGCCCTTGCAGAGCAGCGCAGTGCAGCCAAGGACATGGCAGCCAGGAAGCAGGGACAAGACTCCGCCCTCACGCCCCGTCGTGTGCAGATGATGCGGGGCGCGGGCGGAGGGCGTAGCCGCCATGGCGCTGCAGGGCTTCCTGGACGATCTGTGGCAGGCCATGGAGGCGGTAGGTGGCCCTGTAGCGGGGGGCGGTTTTTGGGCACTCGGTGTCTAAAAGGTTCGCCATCACTGCAGTACAGTATAAAAATAACTGCATTATTGTCAGAGAAATTACTGGGATTAATAGGAAGGTACTTGTTAAATCTGAGAGCTAGTAAATTAATAATTGCTACCGTTCTTTGAAAGAGCCTGCAGAACTTCTGTGACTATGAAGTCAACTTCCATTATACAATTGCATTGATTTTCTTGAATCCGTTAAAACGGATTGTTTTAGATTGCTGACTGTTGCATGATAAATGAGTCATATGATCCTTGCATATAATATAAATTCACAGGAATGGTTTCAGTTAGAATTGGCAGTGCTATGTTGATAAGAAGGAGCACTGCAGGAATGTTTCTGTTTTTTGTAACTTTCCTTCTTTAATTCTTCAGTAAGAAATGGAATTCAAAGTTGTCTTTCTTTTCGGTAAACACAGTAATTCTTAACATTAGTCTTTTAGCTGGCAACCCATGATCTGTTGAGTCATTGTTTTAGAACTATTTCCTTGTCAGATTCCTCAATGCTTTCAACAATGGCTGAACCTCAAATTCAGAATAATCAGAGATGTATCTGCCTTCAAAGTTGAACTAATACAGTCAAATATCAGTGGTTGACAAAGTCAACCAGAATAAATATTTTATAATGTTTTGTATTATGTCATAAACTATTTTAAAAATTGGCCAAATTTCAATTTTAACGAAATCATGGATCCTGGAGTTTAGACACATTCTATAAGTTATCCATTTGAGGTACCTTGGATAAAAATTGTTGCGCTGTGATGCACTGTTTCGCCTAATTCGAGGTTATGGGAATAAGAGTTTTAGCAGAGTATAAATCACTTAGAACTATTATTTAACCTATAGAAGTGTGCCTAAATGCAACTGACAGAGCAAAAACTGAAGTATTTGATAAGCAATAGAAAAATGAGGATTAGAGAAGAGGCATCATGATAGTTAGAGCATTCAACTAGAATACCCTCTTAACGTCTTCCCTATGAGAGTTCAGGAGATTCATCTTGACCTTCTGGAGGACTTCAGTTTGCAGTGATGATTGATATAAGGTTGGAACTGCACTGCTTAAGTTGTACTGTTATTATTGTTTTGTTTTTGAGAAGTTAAGGATGGGATTGTTGTCAGGAGGTCTTGAGTCCCCCATGAATGCAATTTCAGTGCCATAATAACTGACAGTATGATTTCATAAGCATCACAGAGAGGAGCAGTTAAAAGTGAGAATGAAAACAGTTTACTTCCCAGATGCCTCTTGCTTCTATTCCTATCCTTTACTTTGAAAAAAATGCCACCGAAGTCAGCTATTACGCTTCCAGATTTCAGTGGCACGATCTCAAAAGAGTGCACAGTGTGCATTTCATCCCTATCTTAACAATTTCTATTTTTTTTTTTATTTAGGCATTACAATAGGAGTGCATCCCTCCCAATCCGTTTACAGCCAGAATCGATGGAAAAGATGTATTGCCTTCGTGCTTGTGTAATTCGTTCCTTATACCACATGTATAGACCTTTTGTTTCCCAGATAGCCAGAAACCCAACTTTCCCAGAGACTACTCCAAGCAGTCTAAAAAATTCAAAAGTAAGTAACACTTTGAGAAGAAGAATTATTTCGCTGAATACTAGCAGATTTCTTTCAAGCTAGTGGAAAGCATTCAACTGTCCAGTTCCTAATACATATTTTAGACAGATGTTGCCTTTTCTGGGGGTGATTTTGTAGACCTCCACAAGCTTGTTATTAATGCTTGGCTACTTATTCTACCAATGCAGAAATCAAAATGTTAAACCTTAAATACAGGTGTATTATTTTTGGTTTCCTGTTTGAGACATCATAGTTTTTTTGTGGAGTATCCCTTAAGCAATAAGATAAGTGATGACTATCATCTGGATCAAGCAGTTTTGTATTGTGTTAAAAAATAAAAAAACAAATTCAGCTCATTTAAGTGGATTTAGTTGATGCACAATCCAGCATAAAAAAATGATTTGTATCTTAAATGCTTTGTATTCACATCACAACGGCTTTGGTGTCCACAGTTAGTATCATACTAACAATTTGTATATCCTTTTGTGGGTAAAATTGGCATTAAAAAGGAAATTAAATGTAAAAATCTGTATTGCAGTAACAGTTACAAATTTGGTTACATTCCAAAACCATAGAAATGATTCAATTGCTCCTTAAAATCTTCCCTATGTGCGTGGCACGATCTTTGTACACGGTATAGTTACAGAGCCTCTATGCTTGGACTTTGTTTTTATTCATTGAGAATCTCCTCTCATTTGTGGAGTTCACCACCAACATTGAGTATGCAAAGTAGGAAGAGTCTGGTATTTTTCTTTTTGGTTACTGAATCCAGCTTTTTCCTATTTAATTTCCCTTTCTCTTTCTCAGTGTAGCTTCTGTGGGACACTGGAGCTGTTGTGGTGTCAGCAAAAGTGGCCCTTAAAGACAGATCCACTGTTTGGAGCAGCATACCAGTTGGTACACATCTGAAGGGTAGGACAGCTGGCATGTGGATTATTTATGTGTTAGGAAATTTTTAAGCTACTTTCCTCCTTTTAACTAATATTCCAGGTTTCACAGAGGAGAGGTCTAATTCCACTAGCTGCATCCCTCTGAATCTAATGCAGATAGTCCTCTTTAGTGACTGCCTGGTTTAGCAACTATTCACAGTTATGACAGTAATAAAAAGTTAACGTTGTGACCATCCTTGCATTTACAACCTTCACATAACTGTAAAGCAAAGGAAAGCTGAAGTAAGATTATAAGCATAGTTGCAATTTTTCTTAGTGATCATTTTGTTTGTGATCGCTAAATAAGGGTTACTTGTATGCACCTATAATAATTGGTTTTCTAAGGATGAGGTGCTTACTCCTTACTCCTTCATTAAAAAAAAAATACTGCTGTGCATATCTAGACAATACTTTTGATAAAAGAATATTCTATCAGTTACGTTAACAAGATCTACCTCTACTTATTAATTTCTTTAAACTTGTATGCCACTCAGTTCCCAATAACTCTGGGTGGCTCACAACAATCAACACAAAGAAATTGCAATAAAACCAATAAAAGGATAAAAGATTAAGCTGGGATTATATTGATATTTTCACTGTAGATCAACTTTTGTCATAAGAGGTGATATATTACTTTTCAAATGTGAATTTTTAATAAAGCTGTGAATGGGCATCTTGTATGACAGTTACCTTCTCCATAAACTTCTGGAATGTCTTTGCCTTATTCTGGTTCCAGTACTTTCCTGATTTTCTCTTGATAAAACAAATAATTAGTGATTCTTAGCAATATTTTGAAATCATTACCTCTAGATTCAATTGTGGAAATGTTTAAGTTCAACCACAGTTTGGGTTTTATTTCCATTTATCTATTTATGTTCAGAACATAAGTGCACAATTATAACATGATACCTTATCCTCAAAGTGATTTGTTAAAGTATAGAAACTCCAGGCTGGATTGTTTTAATAAATTTATGTTCAATAATCCAAGATCTTTATTCCAAAGAGGTTGGAAGCCTAGTGCTTTATTGCTTTATGTCTATATAACAATATGTCCATAGACCACAACTCTTTCTCTTTTGCTCAACTAGTGCCTGTTCTTCTGGTCTAAAAGGATTAACAAACAGTCTTCTCTGTGGGAATTCAGCTTCAAATTCCAAAGGCAGGTACGAAAGCTAAATATTTATATTACTTAATATTTGTATTACTTTATAACTCATTGTTCTACTTGTGCAAATAACTGAGTTCATCTTGCTTGGCAAGATGCATCTCTAGATTACTGTCCAAAAAAAGATTCTGCTCATATTGTATAGTGGGGAATTTGGGTATTTTGTAAAAATGCATTGCTGCCCTATCTGTTTGTTTTTCTTGCTGGTGATCAGACTCGTACTATTTTTACCAAGTTGGAACATTATATTAAAATTGTGGCACAAAATGTACATTCCCCCCCAAAACCCTTCATAAGAAACAAAACAGCATGAAATAGCATGTAATAAAACTGATATAAACTGCAAAAAAATTGTTATTGTGAGGGGTGGGGTTTTAATGTCAAACTTGAGTGTAATATTTCTCATAGGTTTTTTCCCTCTAAAAATAAAGCCTATAGATATTGTTTGTAGCTTACTTAAAGTATATCAGGGTTGTTGCTAATTAATTCAGTGTGCTGTTAATCGTACTAGTTACCACTTGTCACATTCAGACTATACTCTTAGTCATCTGAAATCATATCCATAGCAAACGCAAGGGTCGGTGTTCTGACAATATGACAATCTCCCATTATAGCCAAGATTTGTTATATTAAAACTATTAAGTGTCACATTATTTCTCCAGAGAAAATATAACATATGTAAGTCAGTTAATCCTGATCTTTAAAGACAGACCTACAAATTCTCCTGCTTTGATCTCTACCTCTTCTGCAAGCAAGTAATTTGAAAGTTTATAGAAATGGAATCAGTTTCTGGTTAACTGAATGAAATATTTCTCTTGAGTCTCCCAAGTTCAAGAATAAAAGTTTGAAACCACTTCAACCACCTATCCGGTATACAGATGTTCACATGAATCCTGACAAAGACTGCTGTCTGTTGCAGATAACTACTCTCGACTTTATATATATTCCTATAGTAATGGGCATGACAGTTACTTTGGTAAGTATTGTGTATTGTAATTTTCAGGTCTTTATATCAGGAATTTTGCTCACTTAATCTTGACCAAGTAGTTTCTAAATTTGAAGTATTGTACTGGTAATTCTTGGATTACAACTCTAATTGGGACCAGAATTTCCATCACTAAGCAGAGTGGTTGTTAAGAGAAACATCATATTACTGCACCACTTAGTAATAGGCTCCAATTTGGGTCATTAGGTGAGACCGTATGGTCATTAGACAAGGATCTCACACTTCTGCCCTGTGCGAACTGCCTCCACTAACTCCTGCCACCCAGTGCTCTATAAAGCCCTGCTGCACCCAGCTGACCGCTGTCTTCCTCCAACTGCCGGCAGCTGGCCTAGGTGAGGCAGCTGCCGGCAGCACCAGGACTTCTCCCCAAAGGTCGCTTGCAGATATGTCAAATTCGTGATGTCACATGACGTCGCACAACGTATCGGAGCTTTTGCCCCATTGCCGGCAATGGGGTGGGTGCGGTTTCCTCATGACGCATCCAGCCCACAGGCCAGCAGTTTGACACCCCTGTCCTAATGCTTTGGAAGACTTGTGATGCCTTCTGAAACCTGCCGGGCAGCTGGCTGCAAAACAGAGCTCGAGGCAGCTCCATAGTAGTGCTGAGGCTAAAGTAGAGGACCAGAGGCTGTGGCAGCTGACTTAACACTGACAAAGGCTCTAGTGCTGTTGCCCAAGGAATGCCACTGCATAGGCCAGCCAAAAGAACAGCAGTGGGGGAAGATAGTCAAGTAGGGAGTTAAAGTGCTCCTGCAGTTGTAAGTGTGGGCAGACTGCCAAGCACCTGAATTTTGATCACATGTCACATCACAGCATGACTTCCCCCCCATAACTTCAGGGATTGGTCATAAGTACCATTTGTTCAACATTGCCATAACTTTGAACAGTTGCTGAATAAATTGTCAGGAGCTAAAACAGCCTGTATTTTTGAAATAGAAAAATCTTCAAGCTGGCAGAGGTAAGAAAAATACAACTTTGAAAGCTATATTGAATAGTCCAATAAGGAATGGCTATCACATGTGATTTTATTCTAGACTACTGTAAGACGTTTCAGGAAAAGCAAATAGTCACAAGTGAAGGCAAATATATATGTCGCAGGATAATGTTGCAGGATCCAATCTGGGTCGGTCATCAGGACCAGAAGCTTTTTGTCTTCTGAGCTTTTGGACTCATGCTGAAGCCCCCATCCTCAGGGAACATCTGTCTAGCAGAGTATCACCAACCCAGATTGGCTCTTGCAAAGCAAATATTGCCTTAAGCAGTATTGACTTGCTTAAAGATGCAATTCATTTTTAAAATATTTACAGACAAAATCAGTTAAAAACGTTGAATAAAATGCCATTCAATTTTGGAGTTAAGGAAGCCTGTGTGATCCAAGTTATTGAATAGCTTCCAGAAATCTTTTTTTTTCTTTTGCAGTTCACAATAAATGTGAGCACTGATATGCGGCACCACAGAGTGAAATTATTATTCCATGATTCTCCGGTATGGAGTAGCAAGAAATCCAGATTTGACCATGGGATGCAGGTTGTAATGGACCCTGTGCATAGCGTGCATCTGTTTGATTGGTGGCATCCACAGTTTCCTTCTTCATACATCTGAAGATTCCCAAGTTTACATCATAAATTGTATTTCGTGCATTTTCCATAAACAACAAAATTTGATAAGCCAATTTGTGTATATGTGTAATCACCTCTTGGGGAATAATTTGTACTAATAAGATTGGAACGAACTTCTGTAAAGCATTTTATTATATGAAAAATAATTCATCTGCAAATATTTTGGTGCTAATGAAATTTGTCCTTTTTGCTTTTTGATAAAAAACACAGCAAAAAATGTGTAACCAAAAGCAAACGGGTTTGTTAAAAACAGATCATGCCAGACAAATCTTACTGCATTCTTTGACAAAGTGACAAACTTAGAGGACCAGAGGAATGCTGTGGATATAATTTACTTGGACTTCAATAAGGGATTTGATAAAGTAGACCAAGTCTACTACCTGATAAGATAGAAAAATGTAGGTTAGACAGCATCATTACCAGATGGATTCGTAACTGGCTAACCAACTGCACCCAACATGTAGTCCCTCCCTACATGGAGGGAAGTATGCAGTGGGGTACCCAAGGCTCTGTCTTAGGCCCAACATTCTTCAATGTCTTCAGTGATTTAGATGAGGGGATAGATGGGGAAATCATCTAATTTGCAGATGATGCCAAGCTGGCAGGAATAGCCAGTGCTCCTGAAGATAGCCTTAAGATACAGAAGGATCTTGACAGACTTGAACACTGGGTCCTACTAACAAAATGAAATTCAATGGTGAAAAAAGTAAGGTTCTACTTTTAGGCAGGAAAAGCCAAATGCACAAGTATAGTATAGATGGTACCTGGTTCAATAGTAGTAACTGCAAGAGGGATCTTGGAGTCCTAGTGGACAATCACTTAAATATGAGCCAGCAGTGTGCTGCAGCTGCCAAAAAAAACCCCAACGCAATCCTAGGCTAGATTAACAAAGGGATAGAATCAAGATTATGTGAAGTGTTAATACCACTTTATAATGCCTTGGTAAGACCACACTTGGAATACTGCATCCTGTTTTAGTCTCCATGATATAAAAAAAAGTTGAAACTCTAGAAAGGGTACAGAGAAGAACAATAAAGATGATTAGGGGACTGGAGGCTAAAACATGAAGAATGGTTGCAGGAATTGGATATGTCTAATTTAATGAAAAGGACTAGTGGGTGACATGGTGTTGCAATATGTAAGAGACTGCCACAAAGAAGACAGGGTCAACCTATTCTCCAAAGCCCTGAAAGGAGAAAGGGAAGCAATGGATGGAAACTAATCAAGGAGAGAAATAACCTAGAACTAAGGAGAAATTTCCTGACAATTAGGACAACTAATCAGTGGAATCACTTGCCATTTAGAAGTTGTAGGTGCTCAACACTAGAGGTTTTTAAGAAGAGGTTGGACAACCATTTGAAATGGTATAGGTTTTCCTGCCTGAGCAGGAAGTTGGACTAGAAGACCTCCAAGGTTCCTTCCAATTCTATTGTTCTATGTAAAGTGGCCCATTTTAGATTGATCCAATTCTGGAATGATCATTTTCACCAGAAAAGGGCCTATATAAACATCAGGAGGTTATGAAATTTGAAGTAGATTGTCTAGAATTGGAAGATGTTTTTGATGATATGGATATGGACCAAGCCCCAAATACTCGCATCAGCTCATTCCATTTCAGTGCGAACATTCTGGAAACTGGTCCAATACGGGACATTCTAATTACACATTCCTCTTTTGTACTAGTAACATTCACAATTCACATAATGGGTAGATATCCATTTCACTTCCATATGCAAAAGTATTTACAATGTTCTACTCCTATAAAGTGTTTGTTTTATTAATTCCAAAGACTGTCATCATCAATTATATATTTATGGCAAAGAACTTTCAGACTGCTTACTTATTGATTACATCTTCACAGAATATAGGTAGTCCTTATTTAACAACTGCTTAGTTTAGAGACTGCAGTTACAATAATGATAAAAAATAACTTCATGACTACTCCATTGGTAGGTCTGTATAGAAAAGCAAAGCTGCACTCATATATCATTTACCAACTGCTTTGCTTAATGACCAAGTTGTTAGTCCCAGTTGTCACTTAAGCAAGGAATAGGAAAAACAAAGGTGCAGATTCCCTTAAGTATGAATTTTACAGGTATATTGAGATAGGTTAGACCAGTGGTGGTGAACCTATGGCACGCGTGCCAGAGGCGGCACTCGGAGCCCTCTCTGTGGGCACACGTGCCATTGCCCCAGCCTTGCCTTCCCCCGCGACCTCACCAGCAGCCCCCCTGGAGGAGAGTCACCCTCGAGCGTAGCCCACACAGCAGCGCAGCCAAGGACATGGCAACCAGGCAAGTGTAGACAAGACTGCCCTCATGCCCCATCGTGCACAGTTGATGCTGCGGAGCGCGGACAGAGAGCGTGGCCGCCATGGCGCTGCTGGGCTGCCTGGGCAATTTGCGGCAGGCCCTGGAGGTGGTGAGTGACCCTGTGGGCAGGTGGGGTGGGGGTGGAGCGGGGGCAGGGCCAGTTTTTGGGTACTCGGTCTCTAAAAGGTTCGCCATCACTGGGTTAGACTTTTCATGTTTAAAATAGATTAATAGAGATTAATGTTTAATTATTTAGTAGATTTTTATCTTGTCTTCTTTATATATATAACAAGGTAGTGGACATACCTAATATTCCAGCCTCTAGTTTTCCCCACAACTGTGTCATTGGATACAAAATGGGCAGCAAATATATTTCATAAATAAATAAATAAACTTGTATGAGGTGGGTTGGGTTGAGAGAGAATAACTGGCCCAAAGTCACCCAAATAGTTTTCATGCTTAAGGGTGGCTGAGAATTCAGTTTCCTGATTTGATATTGTGATGAAGGCTAACCCCTTCATCCCAATATCAAACTGGCTCTCATTTACATGTGATGAATTTGATACCTATCATACAGAAATGAAGATTTCCCCTAGAAACAAAGAAAGGCCTAGTTGCTAGTTGTGAAATAAAACAACTTGGTGGCCATGGCTTCAAGAATAGGTAAGGGATAACTGGGTAAGAGATATTCTGGCTATAAGAAGAAAGAAGGTAAGCAAATTAAGAGCAGATGATCAAGTTAGCATAAAAGGAGATATGAATAGGTGTTACACTATCATTCCTAACCTAAGAGCTTTTTTCCACCTGTACACAACTTCTTGCTGTACAACTTACTTTTGCTCAGACTGAATCATCACAGAATATAATATATACTATATGATAATTGAGGTATAAAATGGCCTATAGTATTTCAAACAGGTTCCAGTTACAGATCATTCTTTTAAAGCTTTTCTTATATTCAATATACCTCTTTCAGTTTGGTTACACATTTGTCTAATTTCAGCCATTAATATTAGTGGGCTTTCTGTCTGAAGTTTTTTTTGTTTGTTTTGCTTCATGTCTTGAAATCTTTGTGGAAGATTTGGAATGTTCAGCCAATTTTTTTTCATGGCTAATTTTCTAGATTATATAGTACCACTAATGTATTTCTTTTTTAGGCTCATACAGAACATCCTGATTCATAGAATCTGCTAAACCATATTTTACTTAATTATAGGTTGCTAAATAAAGCCCATGGCTCTATTTATGCATGGGCTCATATTTGAAACTGCAAACTGGTTCACAAATCATAGAGCTACCATATACAGCCCAAATTAAACATATCAGTTAGTGAGGGGTCCTTGGTGCTCTCTGAGCTTGGTTGTTTTTTTTTTCTAATTAGGTATTTTTACCCATCCAACTTCCTACCTAAGGCAAGATTAGAACTCATAGTTTCAGGGTTTGTAATCCAAAGTCTTCTTCCATTACACCAAACTGGCTTTCCTATACCAAACATTATAGGGAAACTAGTATAGGATTGTATCTCTGCATGTTCCTAGAGTATTTTACATATTATTTCTTCATATTTTAAGTGAATGGGTTTTGCCATTCTTAAGTTAAATTAACCAACTTTGGAGGGGGGATAACAATTTTTATTCAATAATGAATTACTAGTTCTATAAATAGATGCCATTCAGGTAATTAAAATTAAACAATGCTAGTGTACCTTTTTATTCTTTAGGTTTATGTTCACAGGTACTTTTCTTACGCATAATCTCATCTGCACCTAGATAATAATTTACCAATGGCTTATAGATGCTATAATAAATTCAGTGTTTAATTAAGCATAGTAGATGGAAGATAAGCAGAGAACTATCCTCTCATAAGAGAAGACAGGGTTGGTGCTGTCGGCATTTGTAAAAGAGGACTGGATTTTAGAATGAAACCAAGTTACTGGATTACAACACTGAAGAAAGTATTCTACCCTCTTCTAGCCATAATTGGCATTCCATGTAAGTAGGGGAAACAACAGGAGTTGAAGGCTGCAAAATTGGAAGTTATGTGCAAAGTAATGCCAACAGGGTGCACATTAATGCACAATCAATGTTGGAAGGGCAAGAGCTAGCAATGAAAGGGACACATGATCTAGGGAAGAGAAGAGAACAGGAATAACAGGAAAGAACAGAAAGATCCTGTGAAAGAAATTTATTATTTTTGGATCCTCAACAGCCAGAATGGTTACCTATAAATTACAATGTACCTTAATTCCAAAATGGAATTCAATCTGTATGTTCACTGACTATTTTCAGTTTAATTATGTAAACTGCATTCTAAGTTTACATCAAATATGTCTGTAATGATAGTGTCAGAGTATCTTAAAAGAAAAGGAGTGGAAGAGTTGAATGCTTGCATATTTCTGATCCTTACTAAAATCAATAACAAAATTTCCAGCTGCTGATACCAAGCTTCTGAAAAGAATCATTGAGCACTTGAAAATTCTGTTTTATCCTTTTTTATTGTAATTTGGATTGTGTGATCTTGTGTGTACTGGCAGAAAAGCCCATGGTTAATTATTTTTCTTGCCACACAATGTAAGCAGGTATCAAAAATTAGCTTTTTGTTAAGAATATCATGGTAAAAAGAGGAAGGATTTTGGCATTTTGTTCTGGAAGATTTAGAGAACAACACAGTAGTAGTTTAACTCATTTGCACTAATCTTTATTGTGACAAGGCCTTTGATAACCAAGTAAGCTGATGCAATA